AATAGACAGGATCTGTTCTTCAACCCTGTCATCAGTTTAAAATAACTCAGTTCTGGATGTCTGTCACAAGCGTAGCTCAATGGGCAGTGGGAGGCTCCTCTGGACGGGGGCAGCAGCTCGCTCTCCCCCAACCCTCCTTGGGGTGTTATATACCTTCATGCTAAAGTTCCTTCTACTGCCTTTTTATTTGTAAGTTTTTCTTTCTTTACACATCAACACATCAGAATCCATTAGAAGAAAAAACCTTATAGCTTAGCAGCTTTCTGAATAGGGAAGAAATGGAGATGTTTTCTCTAAAGTGAAATCTCACAGTATGAATTTTGAAGATTTATTGACAGAATTATTTACAGAATTCCAAGCTTAATCTTTCTCCATGGGTGGTTATTATTTTGGAATCTTACTCTTCCAAGTAGATTCAAACATACCTTATGATGATACAATTATCATTGGTTTTTATCTGCATCTGTGCACATGTGGAGGTCAAAGGTCAAGCTCAGCTGTTACTCCTTAGCCTCAATGCACCACTTTTCAGACAAGGTCTCTCACTGGCCTAGAACTCATTAGTGGGCTAGAAAGCCCTAAGAGTCCACCAACCTTCCCAGCCTTAGAACTGTGTGTGCCACACCTGGATTTTCTTTACATGGGTTTTGGGGATCAAATTCAGATCCTCATGCTCTACTATGCAAACACTTTACTAAGCCATTGTCCCAGCCCAATACAATTATACTAAGACTCCACTTTGACTCCCTGTCTGACCTTGTGCCCAATAGGGTAGACATCTCCACTAGGTACCATGTTTTCCTCGGGACTCATCTGTCCTGGCTGTCCCTAGTCCTGGGAAAGCCCCACCCCACTGTGCTCATTGGATATCATCCTTTGGGACCCCCCAGTTGTGGCTTCACTACTAGTTCCCTCTTCCTGTGCCTTCGATATCTTGCGAGGTCTTGCCGATGGTTTTCAAAGGATGCTTGCCGAGCTCTGTGTCCTGAGTTCCCTTCTGAACTCATGTCTCCATGACTTCCCAATGCCTGAAAACTTCAGCATGGGTGTGAAATGTCCCTTGTTTGATATTAGTTCAATCCATTCAGGTCTGCTCACCGGTGGGATGGAAGTCCTCTGCCGTGGAGGGCTTGTCTTGTGTTCTCAAGAGCTGTACTCCAGCAATGTCTCCCTGCCTCCTCCTGATGCTGGCTAACAGTGGCCTGAGCATTCTCTCCTGGTGACCCAGAAATATCTTGGGTAGATCCAGATTGTATCCCAGCATGGCCTGTGTAGACATGATGGTACCCCAGCATGGTCTGTATAGACCCTGGTGGTACCCCAGCATGGCCTGCATAGACCCTGGTGGTACCCCAGCATGGCCTGTATAGACCTGATGGCACCCCAGCATGGCCTGCGTAGACCCTGGTGGTACCCCAGCATGCCCTGTATAGACCTGATGGCACCCCAGCATGGCCTGTATAGACCTGATGGTACCCCAGCATGGCCTGCATAGACCTGATGGTACCCCAGCATGGCCTGCGTAGACCCTGGTGGCACCCCAGCATGGCCTGCGTAGAGCCTGGGGGCACCCCACCATGGCCTGCGTAGAGCCTGGGGGCACCCCACCATGGCCTGCGTAGAGCCTGGGGGCACCCCACCATGGCCTGCGTAGAGCCTGGGGGCACCCCACCATGGCCTGCGTAGAGCCTGGGGGCACCCCACCATGGCCTGCGTAGAGCCTGGGGGCACCCCACCATGGCCTGCGTAGAGCCTGGGGGCACCCCACCATGGCCTGCGTAGAGCCTGGGGGCACCCCACCATGGCCTGCGTAGAGCCTGGGGGCACCCCACCATGGCCTGCGTAGAGCCTGGGGGCACCCCACCATGGCCTGCGTAGAGCCTGGGGGCACCCCACCATGGCCTGCGTAGAGCCTGGGGGCACCCCACCATGGCCTGCGTAGAGCCTGGGGGCACCCCACCATGGCCTGCGTAGAGCCTGGGGGCACCCCACCATGGCCTGCGTAGAGCCTGGGGGCACCCCACCATGGCCTGCGTAGAGCCTGGGGGCACCCCACCATGGCCTGCGTAGAGCCTGGGGGCACCCCACCATGGCCTGCGTAGAGCCTGGGGGCACCCCACCATGGCCTGCGTAGAGCCTGGGGGCACCCCACCATGGCCTGCGTAGAGCCTGGGGGCACCCCACCATGGCCTGCGTAGAGCCTGGGGGCACCCCACCATGGCCTGCGTAGAGCCTGGGGGCACCCCACCATGGCCTGCGTAGAGCCTGGGGGCACCCCACCATGGCCTGCGTAGAGCCTGGGGGCACCCCACCATGGCCTGCGTAGAGCCTGGGGGCACCCCACCATGGCCTGCGTAGAGCCTGGGGGCACCCCACCATGGCCTGCGTAGAGCCTGGGGGCACCCCACCATGGCCTGCGTAGAGCCTGGGGGCACCCCAGCATGGCCTGCGTAGAGCCTGGTGGCACCCCAGCATGGCCTGCGTAGACCCTGGGGGGACCCCAGCATGGCCTGTATAGACCTGGTGGTACCCCAGCATGGCCTGTATAGACCTGGTGGTACCCCAGCATGGCTTGTATAGACCTGATTTACCCCAGCATGGCCTGTGTAGGTAGACCTGATGGTGCAGAGAGGGGTCTGTGCAGACCTTTGGGGAGGATAGAGCCTGGGAGGAGCAGGCAGGGGAGGTGGCACATTCTGAGTTGCACATCTGCTCTGCCTTATTTCTGAGGTCCAAATCCATTGTGTAAAGTCTCCTGCCTTCACTACGGTTTTTCCTAAAGAAAATATGATTGCATCTCTCTAGTAACCTTGGATTCCCCAGGTTCACACAAACAAGATTTCTTCTGACCATGCTACAGTAGCTTTGATATTTTACAACACACACAGCAAAATTTAAGAGTTTTTTTTTAAATCTAATCAATTTTATTTTGCTTATAAGGAACCTCAAATATGACAAAGTTCTCAATAGGGATATTTCAAGAATTTTCCAGAACCATTTCCGTAGATGCAATGTGTCCTTGGATGGAGCACCAAGAATTTTTGGGCAGATAATCACACTGTAAATTCTATGAACTAATAAAATTTTGGCAAAGCACCAAGCAAACCTTAGCATAAGTGAAGGCTTTTGCGGGGCTGTGGAGGCCAGGCCTCTCCGCCCTGCCCAGCTGCTTCCACTGGCCATATGCACTTAGTGTCACATCAATGGTTTCACAGAGCTACGGCCAGCTGCCTCCACAGATGCCTGAACTTCTGTTGGAGCTGCAGGGGGTCTGGTTAGAAGGTTAATGACTACCACTTTCCTATAATACCATCTTCCTGGTGACAGTTGGGTAGAGCTGTGTGAAGATACCTGGGGAGCTTGGGTAGGTGTCCTTTGTGTCTCTGTGTTTGCTAGGCACACCTAGAACACAAGCCATGACCGAGGAAGAATATGAGCTGTCAGTCAAGGCCAGGTTCTTCCTCTCTCCTCTGCATTTTGCCAGTTTGAAGCAGCTGTGAGCACAGAAAGACTTTCAGGAACTGAGATTATGCTACAAGTTGTCTGTCTTCTCATTCTGAGTCGGGGAGTTTCTTGTCAGTCCTTCTGAATAGCCACATGAGGGGAAGGCCATCCAGGTACGGGTGCTCCAGTGAACACACATAACTGTGTGCTTTCCAAAATCCAGGAGCAGCGATTGGTAGTACAGTCAGTTCATGGACAGATCATGGAGCACGTGGGATTGTCCTCAGACTGCAGGTGGAATTAGCGAACAAGGGGGCATCTAGGCAGCTTCCTAACTGTATTTATCCGGATACACAGGGCGTGTGCAGTGAGCGTCAGGTACCCTTTCAGCACTGGAGAATGGGCACAGTGATGGCATTTTTAGACATCAGGTGCAGCCCCAGCTTGTGTCTGTAATTCTCCTGGTCCTCAGAGCATCACCAGGCCGGGTGCTGCCCTCATACAACACATGCTGCCTGTGGCTGGTGTGGCACTGAGGCAGAACCCCTCCCCATCAGCTTTGTGGCATCTTCTACCTGGTATTACAGTGCTCGTGAGCCCCTGTAACTGGCCAGTGCCTCTAAAGCAGGCTCAGCCACAGTTTATGGAAATCACTTCCCACTGCAGACCCGTGGAGATTTCCTCTTGTGTGATTATCAAGTAGATATTTCCCTGTGGCCACCTGTCTCAGAGTGTCTGCCTGTTGCTACCATGGGCAGATGGTCTTTGTTTCTGCTTCACTGGCTGGTTTAAGTCTGGCAAGGACCAGTCAGGAAGCAGGTGTGTGTGTGTGTGTGTGTGTATATGTGGTATGTGTATGGTGTGTGTTGTATTTATGTGTGAGTGTACATGGGGTGTGTGTATGTGTGTGATATGTGTGGGTGTGAGTGTGTGGTGTTTGTGGTGTGTGCGTGTGTTTCTGTGTGGTCTGTATACATGTGTGGTGTGTTTATGTGTATGTATGTGGTGTGTCTATGTGTGTGTGGTGTGGAGGGGTTTATGTGTGCATGTGTCTGTGTATGTGTGTGGTGTATATGAGTCTTTGTATGTGTGTGGTATGTATGGTGTATAAGTTTGTATATGTGTGTGGTATGGGGGTATGTGTTGTGTGTATATGTGTGTATGTGCATGGTGTGTATTCTTGTGTATGTATGTGTGTGGTGTATGTGTGTCTGGAGATACACTCATGAATGCAAATCCGTGTAGCTGCAAACAGCCGTCTCCAGCCTGAGAAGACGACCTTGCATGCTTCTTGGGGAAGCAGGTGTTTTTCTGGTTCCCCTCATGGGAGTGTGTACAATGGTGAATGTCTCTCAGGGACTATGGGCTGAGGGCCACACGGTGCAGCCTCCTGAGGGGAGTCACATGTTCTTGTCCTGCTGCTGACAGCATCCATGGCTCACCTCAAGTGGCTGAGGGTGGGTAGGGGTGCCGCTTGTCTGTCCTTCGGACCCTGTTCCCACCACGGTGCTGTGATGGCTGGTCCACTCACCATCTGGCACTTCCTCTTCCCTCAGCTTCCTCCTGCGACCAAGAGCACCAGTCGGCCCTTGAGGAAGCCAAGCAGCCCAAGAATGACAACGTGGTGATCCCAGAGTGTGCGCATGGTGGTCTCTACAAGCCGGTGCAATGTCACCCGTCCACAGGCTATTGCTGGTGTGTGCTGGTGGACACAGGCCGGCCCATTCCTGGCACATCCACCAGGTAAAGTGCTGGGGAGGAGGGTGTGGGGCCAGGAAAGCAGGATACCCCAGATTCCATACACCGTGGGCTCAGCTTCTGTTAGATACCATGCCATACCGAGTGTAGAAAGCTGTCTCTGGTAGTCACCAGTCACCAAGTGAGTCAGAGAAGGATCAAGAGGAGAAAGTATTTGTACCACACCAAAGACCAAGTTTGGCCTCTTTTTGCTGCTGGCTTTGGCCAGAGGGGTTGAGCATTTCAGAAGCTGAGAAAACTCAATGCCCCAAATAGTTTTCCATAGACCACCCATCTTTGTATCCTGAAATAATCATTTAAAGAGTAAGAATGAGCTAAAGCCAAGAGCAGTAAGTGTTATGCATGGACCTGGAACATAAAAACAACTGGTTTGCTTGTGTTCTGTGTCAGAGCAAACAAGGATGCTTCCCAGAGCACCCACAGGAGCTCGCAAGCCCCCAAGCCAGCATGCCCTGAATGAGTGCGTGAAGCAGGTGTGTGTCCTGAGTGGGTATGTGTCCCCGGTGGGCATGTATCAGTACCTCTTTACTGTATGACTTCAATGATATGGCTTCCTAGATTTATATAAAATAACTTGTAAATATACAAACCTCTTTCAAAGTTACAAGCATTGTTCTCAGATTTTACCTCAGATGCCTGGGGCAAGCCTTCGAGGGTCCCTAAATTATGCCTCCAATTGTTCAGGTATTACAACTGGTACTTAGGGGCGATCTTGGTGCACATAGACCCAAGGGGCTACAAAGCACAGATAACCCAAAGGGCACCTGCTTTATCGTGACCAAGTCCAACCCAGCCCAGCTACCCTCCTGCCCTCATCTTGTCACTGGACCCAGGTTTGGAAATTGTAGCAATACTGCAGCATCAAAGCTAATTCAGCGGTCAACACTACCCTGTCCTCACCACAGTGGAGGACAGGGCACATTGCGTAGAACTGATCCAGCCACAGAGCAGGCTATAAGCAGGGCCCCAGGGCAGCCACAGGTTTGTATGGAAAAGCGGGCTCTACGGGCTGAGCCAGAACTTTGATCTTTCTTTGGTGTTGATGTGGTAACCCTCACCCTGTGTCCTGTAGGCAGGGCGTACTGTTTTCTGAGCGCCTTTCTTGGAGGCCATCTTCCTGTATACTTCGGCCTCTGGCTCCATCACCGTGGGTCACTTGGGGCTCCTGCTCCCCACGGTGAGCTTGAGCCAACTGTAGCCTTGGCCCCATGCCGTGCTTCTGCCATGGAGGAGAGGCAGGCCTTGGCAGATGTTTTCTTAGCGCTGGCCAACGAAAATCCTTACGCTGTCAAAATCAGAACTCCTCCAACTGGCTCCGAAATGATGAGGTCAGCATTTGTAACGTTATCCCAGGAGAACCTAAGAACAGTGTATATTGTGACTGTGTAGAAAGCCAGCACCCCTTCCCTCTGTGCAGACTTTGCCTGGATTTCGGGCCAGACAAGAGCTGGGCTTTCCCCTCTTTGCCCATTGTGAGAGAACTGTCTTCAAGGTCTAGGAAAGGACACGAACCGAACCAGATAGCTGTTCAGGCAACTGTCTTCCTCTGCATCACCATTTGCTGAACACCCACGCTGATGGTTAGCACCGTGCAGACACTGTTGAGGGTTGAGGACTGGTGCCTGATTCTACAGGGCCTCCCGAGCTTCAGTCCCACCCGGATGTGGGGTTGGGGCACAGCTGAGGGAGAGCCCTCAGCCTCACCCAGCCTCAGGATTGACTCTACTAGCTCAGAACTCTTAGGGGCAGGACTAAGAATTCAGCTGGGGACAGTGGAGCAGGTTCTAGGCTTCTGTGCTGCTCTGCCTTCTGCTTGCTGTGTGCTCAGTGGCTGCTGTGCACTGGGCTGTTCACAGGCACCATGTGCAGCCATGGCAACATAGTTTGGAAGAAGGAAGTTTTGCTTTTTGACAGTGAGGGCAGCCTTCCCCTCTGAACTATGGACTTGCCTTGTCTCTGGTTGTACGCAGTCCCAGCCTGGCCAGGCATGGGGGCCAGTCACCATGGTTCCTTCAGTCAGCCCTAGGACAGGACTGGGTTTCAGTCTAACCAACAATGCTTTGAGAGGAGAGGAGAGTGTGTCATCCTCAGTGTCAGTCCTGCAAACAGGAGGAGACACCACAGAGGCAGGCGAGTAACCCAGGGGTGAGCGGGGCAAGTGGGAACTCCGCTGCTTCCAGCCTGACCAGCCAGGGGCGAACTTGAAGTTCCCGGGGAGGAGCGTGGGGTGGAGGGGTGGGGTACAGAGGGCTCAGTTAGAGCAGGGCAAGAGAGGGCAGAAAGCAGGGCCTTCACAGTCAGGTCTGGGAGCATGCCTCCTACCCCAGCGCTAGGGGATGCTGCTGGCCTATGCTGGGTAGTTGCACACACTCTCAGTGGTGCAGGACAACACTGGCCCATTGTTCTACTTTGCTTCTCTGTTTTTGGGATAACACACTGAACGAAAGTAATTTGGGGAGGAAAGAGTCTATTTGGCTTACAGATCGCAGTCTGTCACCAAGGGAGCAGGAACTGAAGTAGGGACTACTGAGGGACGCTGCTCACTGGCTTGATCATTGTGCCCAGACCCATCTGCCTCGGGATGGCACCACCCATGGTAGGCTGGGCCCTTCTACATCAGTCAGCAATTAAGAAAAAGCTCCACAGACGTGCCCATAGGCCAATCTGATGGTGTCAATCTGTCAATTGAGAGTCCCTCTTCCCAGGACTGTCTGGGTTAGCGTTGTGGAGCTGTGCACCTCCCAGTGGTGTTGAGAAACACTGCCCTGACTTTCAGTGTTAGTCACTTTTCTGTTGCTGTGATAAAGCACCACGATCACAGCAACTTCAAGAAGGGAGCGTTCATGGCTCTAGAGGGATGAGGGTCCATGGCGGGAGGCCTGGCGGCAGAAGGAGTGGAAAGCTGAGTGCTCACGTCTTCAAGCACACACAGAAAACACAGAAAGCTGCACGTGGGGCAGAGCTACGAACTCTGAAAGACCGCACCCAGGGACACGCTTCCTCCAGTACCTCCAAGAGGATGCATGGTCCGCCCCAAACAGCGCCACCAAATCACCAGATGTTCAAATACTTGAGCCCATGGGGACCACTCTACTTCCTTTCCTTCCAGTAAACATTTGAATGACTTCTCCGTGCTCCAGGCACTCAGTAAATGAGGGGACCGGCATCAGGACCTCCTGAGGGAAGGGGGTGGTGCTGGTAGACGGTCCATAGCTGAGCCTACGTGAGGAAATGTTTTAGATGGTGAGAAGTCTGTGGGGCAGTGAGTAAGAACAGAGGCTGTGGGGCAGAACAGAGCAGCCAGGTGGGATGCCGATGCCAGAGTGTGGCTTGCAGGAGTCAGGGGCAAGTGTGGAGCCCCCCAGTGAGGCCCTGGGTGCTTTGCCCAGGAGGCAGGGTGTTGCCAGGCAGCTTTGACTCTAAGTATTGAGATGAGGAACCCGGAGTATTCTGTAATCAAGGCAGCCTGGCCTAGATCACCCCCTGGGCCCTCTCCTCCACACTTCCCCAAGAGGAGGGCTTGATCTTGCAAACCACCAAGCTGCAGGTGTCAAACACTGCTATTTATAGTCCATCTCTCTCACAGTCCCCCACAGGGAAACTATCCTGTTGTAGATTTGAATCAAAGCCCATGTTCCCTCTGTCCTATGCACCCTTGAAGAGCTGTCCCTCCCTCTAGGGCAGAATCTCTTTGGACAGTCTGAGACCAGAGGTGGGATGGTTTGTGGCTCTTCCAGGAGAACCTGCCCTTTTGGATCAAGATTGGCATCCTGACCATATTTTTCGAGTCCCTGAAACATTGAGCCGGGTGATGTCCAGGGTGGAGGAGGGGAGGGGCAGATTTCCAAGTGGCCACTTGTCAATAGCAGGAGAGGTTTATAGCAGGCTATCATGTGTAGGCCAACTGCCAGCCACTCCATTAGTGCCAGAACAGACTTCCTTGTCACCCTCTCAAGGGCTGGCAAAGGCTTTGTCCACCTGTCTGGTGCAGCTGGCTGGCCCCACTTGCCTTGAGGCAGCTGTTGTTCCTGACCCCAGAGCTCTGCATGGTGCCGTGTGCACACGGCCACGTGGGCATGCAATCACCTTTCTCCATGGCGGTCATCTTGGGATCTGATGGGTGGCCACAGCCAGGCCATGTTCCTTCCTTCTGTGAAACAAGCGCTGTTGTGAGGACAAGGGCTGCCGCAGCCCAGGTGACTGGCCACGCCCTTGAGCGTTTCTCTAGATTGCATTTCTGCAGCTGCACGTCCTGCTCACTGCCCTCCCAGGTGGTCTTTTCAAGTTCTAGCACCAGCACTAGGACTCCTGAGACAGCACAGCCCCAAATTAGAGATATGAGATCAAAACTAGTACGAGATGATGAGATAGGCTTTCATATAGGCGAGAGTGGCCTCAAACTCACTGTGTAGCCAAAAGTACCTTGATTTTAATTATGTGTGTATGTGTGTAAGAGATGTGCATCCAGGATGTGTATGTGTGTATATAAAATGTGTGTATATTTGTGTGTACACAGTGTGTGTTGTAGATGATGTGTACGTGTGTGCACACGATGTATGTGTGTGACTGTGAGTTCAATGTAGGTCTGCGATATGTGTGTGTAATATATGTGTATACAGGATGTGTATGTGTGTATACAATGCATGTATATGTCTGCAGTGTGTGCTGCATGTGTATGTGTGTGTCAATGGGTATGTTTGATATGTGTGCAAGTGTATAATGTGCATGTATGAGTGTGGGTACATGGAGGTCAGAGGGCAGTTTGGAAGGTTCTCTCCTTCCATAGTAGGTCTTTGGGATGGATCTCAGGTCACTGTACAAGCACTTTTACTCACTGAGCCATTGTGAAGAATTTTTGATCCCTCTGCCTTCACCTCCTGAGTGCTAGGATTACAGGCTTCTACCACCAAGCCCAGCTTCAGAAAACCTTAAAGAATGCCTCTTAATGGGAATTTTCATTCTCTTTTATTTTCTGTGGTGGGAAAACAAAGGAATAAATGAAGGAGAAAACCTGAAGTGGTAGCTGGGGTGGATATGATCTGGGAGTCCTTTCTGTCAAGTCATTTCATGCCTGAAAATATACAGCCCCAGGACCCAGAACATTCCACTTGTTCCCACTTCTGACCAGCACCCACCTGCCAGTCTGCTTCCCCAATCAGGCTGCTGACCCGTAGCCTGCACAGGTGCTCATGACGGAGCACCCACCAGATGGGCAGGACCCCACTCCCCAACGAGAAGCCTCTAAAGTGGGATCAATGCGTGAGACTTGGACAAAGGGACATGATATGGGAGGAAACAGAGGTTCAGGCAAGGCTGGGGGCTGGGGTTGGCTAGTAGCCGCGAGGAAGGCTGGAGCCACAGGGTTGCACCTTCCATAGACCGTAAGAGTCAGAGATGCCCATGGGAGGAGATCCCACCTCCCTTGGATGACCCAGTCCTTCATGCCAAGTCTGATCTTACAGAGAGAGTACAGTGTGTGGTTCAGACGGAGGAAGCCCCTGTCTCCCAGTCAGGCCTCCAGGCCACTCCAGCACTCCTATAGGACTGGAGAAGGGCAGTTTCAGGGAGCCGTTGAGCAATACCAGGGGTTTCTCTGGGTTTGGATGAGAAACACTCGGGCAGCAGCACAGCCTCCATCCTACCCAGCCTCTGGAGGCATTTTGCCAATACCAGCTGGACCCTATAGGGTTTGGAAAAACTTTTGTAGCTCAATGAAATGGGTTGAAAATAAGTTAGCCTTTTAGTAACAGATCACTGTGAACTCTACGTTCTTTCTGAGAATTTGGCTTTTTTCTGAAGGTGGCCAAGGAGTTAAATTAAGCCTTGATGCCCACAGTCCTCACACCTGTGCCCCTCCTTGCCTTGGACTCTTCAGTGGTCTGCTGGGCAGAACACTTGCTTCTCATAAAGTCACAAAACAGAAGGATGGCAAAGCACGGATGTTCAGGCACGGGTAAACGAGGTTTTCTCTAGAACTGGACTGAGAGGCTGAGCCTGCCCGGGTGAGGTGGGGAAGCCCCCACAGGCTGCTCTTCCTGTTGACCGTGGAAGTCGATTACAAGGATGTTCACTCACTTCACCAAGGAGTTAAACTGGGGGCTGTTGAACTGTGGTCCCATGGTGCCTGCTGTGGTTGAAGCTGTGTGAGAAATGGAAGACAACTCCAGCTCAGGCTCTCAGTCCCATTTCTCCATTTTCTCCCCCACTCTTAGGTACGAGCAGCCCAAGTGTGACAACACAGCCAGGGCTCACCCAGCGAAGGCCCGAGACCTGTACAAGAACCGGCCACTGCAGGGTGAGTAAAGGAGACATGGGGGCCAGGCTGTATGTGGTGTGGAGCTGCCATCTCTGTTCCCCAGTGGCCTGGTGGCCCCTGGTCCTGGTGGCTCCTCCAAGGGCCTGAGTCCCAGGCAGACATATGGGAGCCTGCAGGTAAAGTGCACTCTGACCCCAGGTGACTTGAAGTGGGTGAGGTGAGAAGGGCACTTAGCATAGGACCAGTAGTGTAAGGGAAGATAGCATCTCTTTAGATGTGAAACCATGGCAAAAATCCGGGAACTTCTGTACCACACAGCCCTAAGTGTCTTGTCACTCTGTGGAAGGAAGGCAGGCATCCCAACATCACCCTCTGTGTCCATTCTGCATCGTGTTGACGATTGAAGCTGGAGACTGGCTTTGATAAAACTTGGCCTATGTATCTAGTGAACTTAACTGCAAAGACTATTTGAGGTTAAACAGAGTGTGTTTAAACCTATGACTAAGAACATCCACTGGAAGGTGCTTTTATCAAAAAGCACACACATGTCTGTTATGACATGTCAGGAACAGGGTCCTCGGCAGATACGTACATGCTGTCCTGGAGCCACTGTCCTTCCCAAGGTCTGCAGAGGAACCCTGGGGCATTGGCTGGGGGTGCACCGAGAGACTTCCTACAGCTCCCAACTCCCACAGAGCCAAAGGCCCAAGGAAAAACTCTGACATCACCGGTGAGATCGATAGTGCCAGTACTGTGCTTCATCTGCAGACTGTGTGTGTTCAGGCAGAGTCCCAAAGCTGTGGCAGTCATTCTGTAATGTCCTCCATTCTAGGCACAAGTGACCAAGTCTCCTGTGGTTGGTTAAGCCTCTCTGTGGAATTTCTGTCTGCTTCCTTCATAATTTGTACTGTCATTGACAAAGAGGTCAGTTTTGGAAAAGAGAAAGTTTTCCCCACGTGTAAACAAACAGAAGACCAGCACGTCTATACCTCAGTATCCAACCAGTGGCACTGAATGAGCATGCTCACTGCAGAGAAGCCAGCTGAGCCCTGTTTGAGGGAGGCAGGCCACACTTTCCTCCCAGTACAGAGCATGTGGCCCCATTAGTGTTAGGCCTCTGCTGGTCCCAGCTCCCTGTCCACCCAGGGTCACCTTTTGATCGAGTTCAAAAGGAATCACTTTAAGCCATCTGGCTGTGGTTCTTGATTCAAACTCAGGGGAAAGGTCGTCTTCACTGCATCATGTCTCTCTGTATTGGGATGCTTTCTGCATGGTCTGGTTCTCTGAGAGAGAGAGAACAAGGTGCAGGGCTAACCCTGCACAGACTCCATGCCTGGGACCTCTGCACATGGATGCCAGGTCCTTAGAAGATGCTCAGCTGGCCCAGGAGCTCCCTGGCTGGAAGTGCTCTTTCCCACAAGTATTTGGTACAGTCTCTTGCCTCTGAAATCAGGTTTTCTTCTGAGGCAGTTTTCTCATGTAGACTAGGCTGGCCTTGAACTTGTTATGCAGCAGAGGGTGACCTTGAACTTCTGAGCTTCCTATCTCTGATTCCCAAGTGCTGGGATTACAGGCATGCGCCACTTTACTGGCTGAAATAATCTTTTGGTGCTAATGGGAAAGCTCATGCCTGCTGACTTGGACTGGTCTTCATCATGTCATAGAGACTTTTGTTCTTTCTTCTGCCCCCCTGGGCCTACCTCAAAGGACCTAAGACTTATGAACACTAATAAAAAGCTCCGTGACTTCTAAACCGGTCTGCACTGTGACTTCCCTCCTATGGTGCCACTCGTTACCACCTGAGGAAGCTTCTGCTCCTGGTACCAAGGCCTTTCTGTGGTGCGATCACTTTAAACCATCTGCCTGTGGTTCTTGATTCAAAGACTGAGGGGTAATTAATCTAGTGGGAACCAGTGGCCATCACCATGGAGAACGTGACATGATGTCATTGTTGGCTTGCCTGAATGTCAGAAGAGTGACTAAGGGAACCAACACTCAGCACGTGGAAAAAGTTCCTGTCAGGGCCCTGGCAGCTATGTTTGTCTTTGGGAGGGGGAAGAACCAGGCCTCACAGCAGAAGAGCCTCCTCTCCATCCCTCAAACAACACCAGGTTGCCCCAGCCCTGGAGAGAGTCCCAACCAGACCTACAGAGCTCAGCTTGTCCTGCACTTGCCAAATGTCTGGGAGAGTGCTGCTTGGGGCCGCTTAATAATTTTCTTTATTTGGAAATAATTATCCTTATAAGGAGAGAAAGCGAGAAAAGTTTGAAATTAATTCCCGGGATACAGGAGATACAGGATCTTCTTGATGAGGAGGAGAGATTTATTTTCACAGTAGCCCAGCAGCCACTGGCTAGGTGAGGCCTTCAAGTGGTACCAAGGGGTGCATTGTTTCCCTTCTAAGTGGCTTTCCCTAGTGCAGCCATCTGCCTCTCCCACGTCAAGCTGGGAAGACTTCATACACTCCTACCCTTCCACTGAGCGAGAAGAGGAAGAGGTGACAGGGTGGCCTCCCTACTGGGCAGTGCACAGCCTTCTCAGAGCCTCTTGCAGTCACAGGCCTAATCACAGCCTTGGCCTCAAGCACAAGCCCTCAAGCCACCGCCTGTCTTTTTCAAGCAGTATTTTAGCACCACTGTACATTGCTTCAAAATTATGACTTTCTGAGGCAGCAGAAAATGATCCTTACCTCGCCCTAGGCATAGCTTAGCTTGCTTTCCCAAAGGAAATTAGACCCTGAGCTGTGCCCTCCTGCCAGATATTGAATGATGCTAGCTTGGAGAGGTCAGTGTTTACCTTTCCTGCAAGGCAGACAAGCAGACAGCATCTACTGCGGCCAGAGGCTTCCATGATGGTGAGAGGTGTCAAGTGTTCCGCCTTTAAAAAATGAAATGTCAACTTCCATGATTTCTGTTGTCAGATCAGGAGCTGAATTCAGACTAGAGTTAGCAGACCCAGGAGCAAGGTGTCTTTATGCTTGATGATTATTTATTATTTGTTTAAAAAGATTTTTTTGAGGCAGGGTCTCACATAGTCCAGGCAGACTTTGAACTTCTATGTAGACAAGGATGACCTTGAATTCTTGATCCTCCTGCCTCACCTTCTGAGTGCTGGGATTATCGGCATTACCACCATGCATGGTTTATGTAGATCCAACCCCCAGCCTTGTATGTGCCAGGCAAGCATTCTAACCACTGAGCTACATCCCCAGCTCCGTTGTGCCCTAGACACTCAATCCTCTAAACCCCAGACTGTAGCTGGAGCTGTGTGCCCACAGGAGCTTGTTCCTACCACCTGCCCCCAACCCCTGCCATGCATAGCATTTATACCACCTTCTACCATATGAAGTAGGAGCAGCAGTACTCTGTGTGATAGCCTACTGTTGGGTGACTTGATGCCCAAGTCAGTGTCACAAACTGGGGTTTGCCTTTTGCATGTGTGGGTGGTCTGTCAAGAGTCTATCCTAAATGGTGATGCTTGGAGGAGAGACCTGAGTGTCTATGATTTTAGTTTCTGATCACTGAACTTGATGATTAAGTATGACATTAAACTTGTGGATGCATGTGATTGGTGGTTCTTTGGAAGACAATTGCAGGACAAAAAGTGGGCTATTAAATAGGTTTCAATAAGGAAAGACTGTTGTGGGTGCAAAGTCAGTCAGGAGAATCACCCATAGCTTGTTTCCCAAGGACTTCAGGGGATAGGAACATAGGGAAAGATAGCCAGGACCAGAGCAACCCAGTGGTTGGTCAGAGGTGAGAGTGGTCCCTATGGGAACATCCTGGCATGTGTGTTCCAGGGAAGGGCCTCAGACACCGGGTAAAGGAGAACAGCCTCTGTGTCTAGTCCATACTGCTCCTTAAAAAACAAGTAATAAGCCAGGTATTGTGGGCACGCCTTTAATCCCTGTACTCAGGAGGCAGAGGCAGACAGATCTGAGTTCAAGACCAGCCTGGTCTAGGTAGAAAGTTTCAGGCCAGCCAGGGCTACACAGAGAGACCCCGTATCAACCAACCCCCCCCCCAAATAAAAAAAAAAAACCAACAAAAATAAAACACAAAACAAAACAGAAAAACTAAACAAAAGCCACCAAGTTTCAGGACTTGTAAATGGGGCTGGAGACCTGTGACAGGAGAGCGAGGGAGTGCAGGGGCGGTCTTCATGGAAGTTTTAGTGGAATAGTGCATTCAATTGATAGTTATCTTCTGTTTTAAGAGAATGAGGACAAATTGGGTAAGGTGTTGTGGGAAGGTTATGGGAGTTATTCATGATAAAATAAGGACAATTGAGATACAGACACAAAGGTTTCTCCCCCGGTCTGCAGGAAACCATAAAGCAGCACACAGAGATTGCCTTTGTCAATGCTCTGACAGCCATGGGATCCTGAGTGAGCTGTGAGGGTTCCTCTGTTGCTTGGCTGACCCTGAGGAGGCAGGTTTTCTACCAAATGGCACTGAGGAGGCTAAGTACATGGAAACCGTAAGCACAGTGCAGCAGGCGATTTGGAAGAGATGGGCCCCAAGCAAACACTTACTGCGTTCTTTCGAGTGTTCATTTGTGGTTATCCTGAGACAGGGTCATAGTTTCTGCCCCCACTTCTGCCTGGACAAGCCCCATGCTTTCGGCCTCCCAGGCTTTCAGCGCTAAGGTATCTCTGCGTGTTCCCAGGTAGGTGTCCAGGTTGACTCGAGCAGACATCCAGTGCCCTGTAACACACACACACACACACACACACACACACACACACACACACACGCACACGCACACATGCACACGCACACATGCATGCGTGCCTGCACACACACACACACACACGCACACACGCACGCACACACGCACCTTGCAGGTGGCTTTGTTTCCATGGCCCGCACACATGCATGCGTACCTGCACACACACACACACGTACACACGCACATGCATGCGTGCCTGCACACACACACACACACGCGCACACACGCACGCACACACGCACCTTGCAGGTGGCTTTGTTTCCATGGCCTACTGTTTCCTCGCTGTTATAACTCAGGGATCACGACAG